CCACACGACATGCCCAATGCCCTTCGGCATGCACAGGCGCTCCATTGGCTTCTCGCACGGCGCTGGCTCTTCGCACTCTCCGAGCGCTCTCGCTTGTCTTTTCGCGCGACATTTCTTTTTTGCATCCTGCCCCGCTGCCGCTTGCCCGGTGCCCTTCTGCATGCACAAGCACTCGGTTGCCTTCTCAAACAGCGCTGAATATTTGCACTCTCCCCGCGCGTTCGCTTGTCTTTTCGCACGACATTTCTGTCTTGCATCCTGCCCCGCTGCCGCTTTCCCCGCTTGGGCCCCCGCTCCGCTTTGCTGGCATGCAATTCGTGCGGCACTTGCTTTCTGCAGCCCTGTACACCTTTCCCCATGCGTCCCACGGCCCCACGGTTCCCCCCGCGACCCGTCGATCCCTCTCAATTTCCTCCCAGGTGCCACGGGCCCCTGCCACAGTTTCTCTTGGGCCCGTGGTCGCATGTGGGCCCTTTGTAACTTTGGAGAGTATAGGGATATGGCCTGATGCTGGACCAGATGCAGTCGGACATAACGAACACCTAAAACGTGTTAAGACCACTACCAGCTCCAGATACATTGAGAAAATTCTGCAACAGGGCCAGGCCCTAAGAGCAGAACAGAGCTCCACTAGCACAACCATACTTTCCTCGCCCGGAGTGATAGTCAACCGCAATGTTCCGACTCAAGTGATGAGGACCACTTGCAACACATCGACAGAAGCCGAGCAGAAGGGGAGAAACACAAAAAAACAAGGACCAATGAAAACCGAGAGTTCCCGTGAAACAAACAAAGAAGACAGGATAAAAACATAAAACAAATAAAGGAAAAAGGTAGGATACATCCATCAAAAAGGAAGAATTTCGAAGAGAAGAGAAAAGAAGGTGCTTGGGGCCAAGTTGCACGTACCACACTGGTTTTCCATTTCTTGCCATCGACCTTTGAAATCTACTGTCAGAAATTGAGAACTTGGGTAAGTGGGACTTGGCCCCCAAAGGGAGGGGTCCCACTAGCACGGAGTATCCGTTGATCTTTTGTACTGTACAGTTAGAAATTGAGAATTTGGGTAAGTGGGCCTTGACCCCTGCGGGGAGATCCCACCTAGAAGGAGCATTGAATTGGATGCCCGAATCTGGACATCTTTGAGGAGAGATGCAGACAGTCGGGATTGATCTGCTTCTCCGAGTCTGCAGTCTCTGCGCGGAACATTTCCAGATTCAGGGGCTTCATCCAATTCTCTTTGCTAGTGGAACTTGACCCCCTGCTCCCTGTAGCCTTGGACGCGAAGTTGCGTGCGCAATCTGACATAGGAGGTCAGATATGAGAGGCATGGAAACACGGCCGCTTCGGTCAGATACGGGCAGGCATCGGAACACGGCAGCTTCTTCCCGCCTCGCTACAATCTGCAGCATCCTGTAATCAGTGGACCAGGACGGATTTCCTGAGCGGGTGCCGGTCGGCGAAAACAACAGCGATATTGCGCTTGATAACAACAACAACAACAACAACAACAACAACAACGACGACGGCGGCGGCGACAGTAACGACAACAATGACATCAGCAACAACAATAGCAGCAACAACAGCATCAGCAACATCGGGAGCTATAGCCTGACTCTCGACGTATCAACTGGGTCGTCGCATCGCTCCACCGTTGGTAAGTGTGATAGAAGGGGACTGGTTAGGAATCATGCTACCAGCGCCGCAGCACGGATGTCAGTTGAAGGCGAAGCAGCCGTCTATGCTCTTAGGGTTCCTCGCATCAACTTGTGGTTCATTGTGGCTGACTGCCAGATTTTGACATGGAACCGCTCTCTGCTTGTTACTTCAGAGGTAGGGAGCTGTCTTGTAATTGATACGGAAGCTGGCTGCCTCTTGGGAGCAGTGGTTACACTGGTTAGGCCTCGTCCAGCCATAGCAGTAAATAAAGAGGTGTGTGTATTGTTGTACGTGATTGATAACACGAGCCTTGGGCGCTAGGCTGACTTTTCCGAAAGAAAATAAAAAAGAACTGTGGCAAAATGTCTACACAGCTACACATGTACTAGAATAATTGATCGGCCCAACAATACCCCACCGTCTTCCCTCAAATAGAACTGCCAATCATTTTCGCTGCATCTGCTCAACATTGCACAATTGCACAAAGTACAGGAATAGTGACCGGGTGTTCTATTCGATTGAAGACGATAGTTGCACCACACACCGTCCGGCAAAATTCTGAATGAATCCGAACAGGGAATTTGTCCTGACGAGTTGAAAATGTTGGCGGACTGCAAG